AGATGCACTAGCACCTAGAGCGGCAGCCTCACTGGTCCCAATACCCGGGTCTGGCGGTACACTCAGGTAACAGTCACCCTCAACACTAATAGTCAATGCATACATGGCCCCAAGGATAGCATCAAAGTCAAGAGCAAAGATATCAATGTTCTTTTTCATCAGATCAGCCCAGCGGGGCAGCTCAGTGGCGTCAGGAAACTGTGCACGCCAGGCGTCGTTGAGACGAAAGAAGCAGCGGTGTGACGTGTGGAACCTCCCACAGGTCTGGCCAGTGCGGTCACCTGTGCGGATAAGGTACGGGCAAGTACCTCCACCCCCAGACCCCCCACGCTGAGAGTACCACTCACGGAGCTGCTGGGGGGACGGGGTCTCGCCGGGACGCTGCTGCTGCTGGCTCTGGCCACCACCGACCCCTCCACGCTGCACCGCTCCACCGCGCCCGCCACCAGCTCCACCGCCGCCACCACTACCACCACCACCCCCGCCACCCCCACTACTGCCGCCGCCACCACCCCCGCCTCCGCCACTGCCCCCCCCCCCCCCACCAGCACCACTCCCACTACCGCCACCACCCCCTCCTCCTCCACCCCCTCCACTACCGCCGCCCCCGCCCCCACCTCCGCCACCCTTGCCCCCCTTGCCCTTGCCGCCCTTGCGCCTCCAACTAGGAGCAGACGCAGCCCCGACCTCCTCAGCACCGAGGTAGTCGACAGCAGCAGCAGATGCAATGGAGGGGAGAAGGGGGATGGGGGAACACCCCTCAAAGAAAGGAGTGGGAGGGTCGCCACGAGAGGCACCTACAGCTACAATACTCTTCTCAGCTGCAAGGAGCTCCTTCTCGAGCAGGTCGACAGTGAGGTCAGTGGAGGAGAGGGCGAGAAAGTGATCCCTGACAGTGCGAAGAGAGTCAGGGAGGCGAGTGACGAGGTGGTAGAGTGTGAGGTACATCGGGGGAGGGTTCTTGGCTAGGAAATCGGGGGGAAGCGCAGCACGGTAGCGGAGATCACTAGTACGGAGGTGAGTGATCAGGTCAGCTACAGTGGCAAAGGCAGAGAGATCGGGGAAGAGATAGGGCAGTGAGAGACGGCCTATCGCTGCAGTAGCAGGGGAAGAGTAGCGTGCAACGACAGCATCGTACAGATCCTTAGCGGTCTTATGCTGGCCGAAATGCTCGCGCTCATCTAACGGCAGGTGGCTGCAACGGCTAGGCGAGCATGAGCGTCACGAGTCTGCCACTGTGAGCGAGCAGTACTGTCAGCAGTAGCAGCAGGTGCGGGAGCAGTGCCGGACGTGTGATCATACAGTGAAACATCATCCTTGGCAGTAATCTAGATGAACAGGTGCAGGTCATCGAGCCAAACGTCAAACTTAATCGGACGGCCCTCAGCGTCAAAGGTGAGAACGGTAGGACTGGCCATAGTGGCAGTAGCAGCAGTAGGAACAGTAGCAGTAGAAGCAATAGTAGTAGCAGTAGCAGCTGTGGCAGTAAGAGCAGCTGTAACAGCATGAACAGGAACAGCAGTTGCTGCAGGTGGGGCGGCGCGGCTCGGTCAGGGCGGCGCGACTCGGGCGGCGCGACTCGGGCGGCGCGGCTCGGGCAGGTAAGGCGGCGCGACGGCGGGCCTATGCGCGGTTCGAGGCGGTGGCCTACGTGGGGGGGCGGCTGCCTACGCGGTGGCGGCGGCCTACGCGCTGGTGGCGGCCTACTCGCGGGCGGCGACCTTCGTGGGCGAGGTGGCGGCCTACGCGCCGGTCGACGGGCAGCGCGCAAGCTGCTCTAGGGGCCGCGCGAGGCCAGGGCAGGGTACGCAGGGGCGGCGTCGACGGCGTGGGCGGCTATAGGGTCGCGCGCACTAGAAACGGGCCGCGCGCGGGCGGCTAGCGGGCTGCGCGGGCAAAAAACGGGCCGCGCGCGGGCGGCTAGCGGGCGACGCGACTGAAAAGCGGGGCGCTCGAGGGCGCACTAGGAGCGAGGCGCACGAGGGCGCAAGTAAGAGAAGGCGCACGAGGGCGCCACTAGCGGAACGGTGGGCCCTTAGGAACGGTAGGTCCTAGGTTCCTAACCTAGGCTCGTAATACCATGTCAAAATTGAGAGAAGTGATTGAACTAGGAAAGTTGGGAGTACAAGTATGAAACCCTAGAGATTGTACCCTCTAAGGCTAAACCCACTACAGCCTACAGAACACAAACATATACAATGTTTGACACTATGCGGTGGTCATGTGCCCGCTGAGGTGGCAGTCCTTCTGGTAAATCGTCCGGAAAAATCCCCGGGTATCGTTTCAACAGTTCCTGTAGTTCGGGCGGTACCGCTGCCAACAGTTTCTGAAAATCGCTCGGCTGCTCTGCTTCTCCTACCAATGCTATATCCACTGCGTACACGTCAGCTCCAGCGGCGACAGCCCGTTTCATCGTGATGGCGTTGACGTGGACCGTTGAAGACTCGGGCGACTGCCAGCGAGGTAGCACGACCCAGTTACCGCTACTTCGCACAGTGCAGCTACCCGTCGTCCAGTCGATTCGCGGGTTATACCGTCGCAGCCAATCACGTCCCAGTAAACTGTCGTGCCCATCCAATGTCGTCGCGAGCATTTCCTGTGTAAACCCAAAGTTCCCCCCGCAGTGGACCTTTACTCTCTCCACCTTCTCCCGTATGGCCAGCGGCGTCCCGTCCACTAAGCGTGCATCTATTTCCGGTAAGCACCGACTAAGTGTCAGCTGCAGCTTCCGTGCGGTTGCGGTATTAACTAAGCTGTGGCTTGCTCCTCCGTCTATAAAGATCTTCACTGCTGCTCCCTGTATTTTCCCGTGAATCAGTACGGGGCAATCCGTCGCTGTACCCTCCTTATTCATCCGAGCCCGATCGATAGCGTGAATCGGTACTGTGACTCGGTGAGGGTCGGTGAGGTTGGGCGAGCAGGCAGTCTCGTCAGTAGTTGGCCCGATTTCTACTGACTGCTGGCGTTTCCCTGCCTTGGAGACTCCCTCCCCTGCTTTGCTCCGCGGCGCCTCAGCTCCTCTGGGCACTCACTCTTGCGATGGCCCGGCCTATTGCAAGCAAAGCAGCGCCCCTTAAATGGCGCGGCAGCTGCATTTGTCGCAACGGCATGTACAGTGGCGTGCTCGATCGGTCCCCGAGGGCGATGTCCGTAATAGGACCCCGGTCTCGGACGGCGTAAGATATCGATCTTCTCGGCGAGCGCGAGAATCTCGTTGAAATTCGAGAGTCCGCGTAGCATGATTTCGTGCGAGATGTCCGACTTCAGCCCCCCAACGTAACGGTCCACCCGCTCCGCTTCGTGCATGTAGCCGACTTGCTCGCATAGTGCGAGAAAACCACTCGTGTAGTCTTGAACCGACCCGAGCTGCCGCCAAGTACGCAGTTTCTGACGCGCCGAAATAGAAGCCGCGATCGACTCGAAGCGCGCCCGAAGCCCTGCGCACCACGCATCCCATGTGCTGTATTGGGCTGTTTCGCAGAATGAACTCCAGGTGACGGCTGGACCCGTGGGCCCTTCCTCTTGCGACGGTGGCTCGTAGGCGCGTGGCGACGTCACGATGACTCGCCACCAGTCCATGGCGGGGCCCCTCAGCAGCGAAACAGCGTAGCGAATCTTCGCTGCGTCCGACTCGACGTAATTCGCGTCGAAGAAAACGTTCATCGTGAAGACCCACGACTGAACCGTCGGACCTCCACGTTGGCTCGGATCGAAACAGGGCGGGCGTTGCGGCTTGAGTGGCATTGGTGCCACAATGTCGTGGTTGCCACTTGTTGCTGCAAACTCCACGTGCCGACGAGCTTCGCGAGGCCCACGCGGGCTTGGCGCGGCCCGATTTCTCTCCATGTCAGGCATCGATTGAGTGGCGCCATCACTGGCTGCGCCTGAGCGCTGTCCCACGCTGTCGTTTTGCGTCGGTGTGCCTGATGAGATGACGATCGGTTCTTCTGATTGCGCAGGTGCATTTGCGGGTGCTTGTGATGGAGCTGGTGCATTCACCGTTGATTGCTGGCGGGCGGAGTCACGTTCCGCCGTGAGTGTCGCGATTTCGAGTGCTGAATCTTCGAGTTGACGCACGAGACGGTCGAGTTGCTCCTGCGTCAATGTCGCAAGATTAATTTCGGCCATGGCGGGGGTGTCGGGCAAACTCAGCGGGAGCCTCTGTCGTGGCCGTGCGTGCTTACGAGAGAGCACTTCGAGCGGCGCTGCTTGTTCGCTGAGAGACGTCTACCCCCCCCAAAAAATTGAGATAGTGGGGAAGCGAAGGTGTGGGTGCGGTCCGAGAGGAGATCGTAGGCTCTGAATACCAAGTGTTACGAGTGCAATTGAGTGAGCGAGCGAGAATTGCACTATCGAAGCAAAAGTACAATGAGCGAAGGTATGAGCGAAGAATATATAGCGAAACTACAGTGGTAACGGTAAAGTGGGAAATTGAGGTGCGCTACGGGCCTAGCGCCGAGGTTTGGAGAATTGTCGAGGCGGAGGTCCGGAGCGCGGGTTACCAACCGAACCGTTAGGTTGGGTCGCGTCGTGAACAGTGGCGGGAGTCGTGGTCGAGGCGAGTGTCGTGAGCGAAGTAAGGAAAAGGAATTTTCCTTGCAACATCCCAATAGCGAGACGAAATTCTTTCCAATCATCTGACGTCCGCCCGCACTTTGCGGATGATTCGCGAGTCTCCCGCAATCACCTCTGTCCCGTCCCGTCCCGTCCACCCCTCAAAACTCCGTCATCGCTTACATGCAGCCTCGCGCCTCACGGCGGCGACTACTAGGTTCCGGCTGAACGTGACCACTAGGAAACATTGAACCCTCGATACAGGACGACGACAGCCTCGGAAGTTCGGAATCTGTACCGCAAGCGCGCGAGTTACAGGTGGTAGCAGCCCATACCGCTGATTGGCTTCTCTTTCTCTTCTCTTATCTTCGACGGACCTTTCTCAAGCTTCGGTCAGGAGGAACCAATCGTTCAGGACTTTCCTTTTCTTGCAATCGAAGTGAAACATGGGTGTGTTGCTTCTACTCGTGCTCGCGGTTGTGCGTGCTGCGTACTCGGAGTCCGCGGGCGTGTCTGCAGCATCGTCATGGCGTGCGACGGAAGGGCCTACTCCAGTGGTCGCTACGAGCAGCGAGGGAGCCGTGAAGCACGCGCGAGGGGAGAGTGCGGCGTTCACTGGTTAGTAGCCCGTGGAGCCCGCGCGCGAGAGGAGAGCGTGGTTTTGAGGGTCCTCGAATTGAAAGCAGCGAGAGAGCCGTGCGAGGGGAGAGCGCTTTCACTGATTAGTCGACCGAGAAGCACGCGCGCGCGCGAGCGTGCGCGCGGCTCCTTGCAGCAATAGCAGGTCGCGACTCGAGTCGAAGGCGCGCGAGTTAATTTTCTGCCAATCTTGGCACCCCGCTTGGGTTGATGCTTCAATTCAAATGCGTAGGCCGTAAAGGTGCATACGCGCTGCCTGCCTGCCTGCCTGCATGCCTGCCCGCCCGCCCGCCCGCCCGCCCGCCCGCCCGCCCGCCTGCCTGCATGGCTGCCTACCTGCTTCCCCTGTGTGTCGGTCTCTGAGAAGAGTGAGGCCTCTGCCCGTCGTTACCGTTGCAGCAGCACGCCGTGAACACGCTTGCTGATTGTCACGCATGCCGGACTGTCATGTCATGCGTGTCAACTGTCATGGGCGCTCATCAGAAGTACCTCCCGCCTTGCAAGCACAATCACAATCAGAGTGCAGAGCGCAGCAAGTTCATCCGTCATGCTTGCATGCATGCCCTCGTTACGTCCCCTCCCTCATCCCACACTCTCCGCTCCTCTCCCCTCTCTTCCCCTCGCGTCGTCCTTTTTCCCACCCCTGCCTCGCCGAACCGCAGTGCAGACAGCATGGTCATCGAATGATTACGTTCTCACCTCCATGGCGCCGCTGCCAGATGGCCGCCACGTGGCAGTCGCGGATAAGACCAAGCACATCATCCTTAAAATCGAGCTGCCTCTCAACGCGAGTACGCCTCTCCTCTTCATCCCATTCACTCTCCTCTGCGCCACCTTACCCTCTCGCCTTCATCCCATGACTGGTACCCTCTGATTCATTCCTCCTCTCCCGCGCCCTCTTACATCGCTCTGCTCCCTGCATCATCTCAGCCGCCTCTGCCGTGTCATCACCCCCCCTCCTCCCCCCCTCCGCGTTCCCCTCCCCCTCGCTTCCTTCCCCCTCCCCCTCCTCACCTCCTCTCCCGCCCAGCGTCCGCGGTGACTGTGCTGGCAGGGAAGAACGGCTCTAAGGGCTGGCAGGACGGGCGGGGGAAGGGGGCGTTATTCAACACGCCAACGCACCTGGCGGATGATTGCCGGGGAACCTCTTTGTGGTGGATCAGGGCAACAGCTACCTGCGCGTCGTCTCCCCACAGGGTAGGCCGGATGATACCATGAGAACCACTCTGGCATTTGATTGCACCTTAGTGGATGTTGTTGGGTGTCAACCTGTCAACCCCCCACAGGATAAACTGTGGTAGAGAGCAAAGCAAAGCACAATAGATTATGTGAACCTGCCACGGTCCTCCTTCCAGTATCATTCATTCTTCCTCCCGAACGCTTTCTCTTGCTTTGATCTGCCCCTCTTTTTCTCCCACAACTCTGCCACAAGTTCCTTTTCCTTATCCATGCACCCCCTGCCCCTCTCCCCCCTCTTCTCTCTGCTTGCCTCCCAGGCGATGTCACCACCATCCGCAGTAGCAGTGCGTCTCATGTCGCCTCTTCACAATCGCCATTCATGCACAGCACCCATGCACCCGCCACCACCAGCACCACCCTTCCACCGAATCACCCCCTCCGTGCACTCCTGGCACGCACTCTCCACAGCGGAAACGCACCTGTTGAGCCGACTCAAAAGCCATCTCACATGCAGCATAGCGGCGATGAATCACCATCCGCACCTCCACACGGCAGCGTCAGCGAGGATCAGCCGTTGCACTTCCACTCCAAACCTCACCATCCGGATCCAGTCAAACTGGGGAGTGGCGTGTCGGGCATGTGGTATAACGCCAGTAGCGGGGTGCTTTATGTTGTGGAAACAGGCAGTCATAGGATCGCTGCCTTTGCACCTGCTCCTGCTGCTGTTGCTGGGAATGCTGCTGGTTACGTAGCTGTGACAATGGAGGCTGCTGCGGGGGCTGGTGCTACTGGCAGTGGAGTCTCGTTTGGGGATGCTATAGGGATCCCTGGGTGCTTGTGCAATGCGAAGAACAGCTCGGGAGGAGGAGGAGGGCAGGATGGTAAGGACAGTCGTGGCCATGGTTTTGACTTCTGTGTCCTCTCCCATCCTGCACAGCGTGGTGCTGCCGTGCTGTCAGTGCTGGTGCATTGCGTGGCCATGGGCCATGGGCCATGGCAATAGGATGGCTGCATGTGCGGTTCGCACGGTACATGCGCGTGCTTGCTTCTGTTCCTTGCCTCTGTCCATGCTCCCTTACACGCTCCCACTTTACAGTTATCCATGTTTGCCGTGCTACATGTCTTGTTGCTCACATCCCATAACTGCTCGCATCCACTGCTCCCTTCTTTTTTCTTCCCCGCACCCCAACCCATCCTGCGCCTCCGTGCATGCCCCATTCCCCCCGAGTCAGCTCCGTCGTCCTCCCCATGGCATGCGACGTGGCGAGATGGGGAGGTGGCAGGGGGTGCGTTTGCAGCCGGTGTGCTTTGTGCTCACGGCAAGCCGCTTCTCACAGCAGCAGCTGCTGGCACGTCCCATGTGAGTGGGATCGCTCCATGCCGCAAACCTCGCCCTGCATCTCCATGCCCACCCTCCTTGCGCACACTCTTCTTGACGTGCCCTCTCCCTCAGACCTCCGCTGCCCCCGTCCCCCCTTGTCTGTTGTTTCTGTATGCTGCTTCTGTGCTCACTCGCAGCATACCCTTTGAGCCCTGCATATAGGTCTCGGCCTCCTTGCATCATTGTATCTACGCTTCTTCAGGTGCCCCTGCTTTTAAGTGTTACATCTTCATATCACTTACTGAAAAGGATTGTTCTTGTATCCTGTTCCCTTCAGCTAAACCATCACCCATCCCTCTTCTCATCCCCTCTACTATCATCCCCCCCACCCCACTCTCCACCGCCCTCTGTGTCTGTCATACAGCTGGGCTCTGCGCTGTCTCTTGTCATCCATCGCATCGCATCCACAGCGCTTGCAGTGCTGCTGCTGCTCTTCTCCCTCCCCACTCGCTTCATGCAGCAACCGCTGAGTACTGAGCCTGACAACACCAGCAGCAGCAGCAGCAGCAGCAGCGGCGGCACCAGCACCGCGCAAGGGCCCCTTGTCTTGCACGCTTCCACCCAGCAGCAGGGAGGAGGAGGGGGGCAGCGGGAAGAGGAGGGGGGTATACCCCCCAAGGCCACGCTTCTATCGTTTGTATGGCCCCTAAATTCATCTTCAGCAAGCCGTGAGGCCCCTGCTGCAGCGGAGGAGAATGAGGAGAGTGGGCTTCTGATCAGCTTCTCAGATAAAGAGGATGCTGTGGGGGGTGGCAAAGCAGATGCTAGTCCATCCATTACCAGTCAACATGCTCCTGGTGCTCCCCTTGACATCTTGCAGTTGCAGAGCAGTGCAGAAATGCCTGTTTCGATTGCTGCAGCTGCTGGTGCTGTCTGTGGTGCGACTGGTAGCAGTGTTGATTCCACAGCAAGGGTCATGACAGGCAAGGAATTCGATCGTGCTGTTGCCTCAGGCGATGCTGCTGCTGCTGCTGCCTCTGCTGCTGGAAGCACAGCTGGTGCAACGTTGGGAAGCAAGAGGGATGGCACTGCTGCTTCATCTTTTGCTGCTGGTCAATCCCTCCCTACAGTGACTGGATCTGCTCCTGCTGATGCTTTTAGCGACCTTGTAGGTAAATGGGCAGGCGGTGCACATTTGGGTGAGGGAGAAAAGAGAGACACCAGGCGTGATGTTTCATCCTAGGTAGAACTTCTCAATCAGAGGTAGAATGGCTGATTGCCCAGATTAGGTACTGGCCTATGTGCGCATCAGTCATACCTACCGGACCTGGTAGGTGCTGCATCGCATGGTTTTGTCACAACGACAATGTAGTATTCCCATAAATAGAGCCCCCCACCCCCCCCTCTTCTCCCCTTCCGTTAGAGGGGCGTTACGGTAAGCCACAGGCCAATCAAACTGGTAGGCCCCACCCTCGTTCATAGAGTTTTCAAACATAGAATTACATGACTGCAATGGGTGTTTCATGGAACATGACGTCACTGAGTGTTTCATGTAACATGACGGCATTCAGTGTTTCATGAACCGGTACCATAAAGCCACTTCTTTGTATAAGCCCCAAGGCTAAGGTATTGGGCTGAGAAACTGTATTTGGTTAATATACTACATACATACGGTGAGAATGCTACTAAAAGAATGCAAGGACACACAATAAGCTGCTCTCCACTCTAGAATCTAGCTCCTTGCGTCATAGCTGCGAGGGCAGCGCCTAACATAGTGCACGCAACACGATGTCCCCCAACCCAGTCCGCAGCTTGGCACGCTCTGGAGCAGTATTTGGCCTCAGTGCACGCAGCACAACACCGGAACTCATGCTCCCTAGTCTCCTGCCGCCCGCACTGGGGGTTAGAGCATGCATGCAGCATGGGAGGTGTTGCAATTGGGGCAGCAGCAACTGCGGTAGAAGCAGGAGGCACGGGAGCAGCACCATGGGAAGGAGATGGTGTGTGTACAAGGTACGCCTGGGAAGCACTAACGTGGATGGTGTGGGTGTTAGACACAGGGCCATTGAGCTTCTGCCATTCCAGCAGGAAAAAGTGGGCGGGGTCTGCCGGGCGGCAACTCTCGGCTTCTTGCAGCTCCATTAGTTCTGCGAGCGAGGGAGAGCTAGGTTCCCACTCCTTACTGTCTAGGCTTTGGATATCTGCGATATTGTCAATGCTGGTGGCATCCGTGGAAGGAGCAGACAGACGAGCAGCAGGATCAACAGGTGCTGTTTCAGCATCTGAGTCTGCACTCACTCCTGCTTCTGTTGCTGCTGCTGGTGCTGCTGCAGTTTCTTGGAATGATTCAGCAGGAGCAACGTCAACACGCCCTTCGTCCCTGGTAAGTGCGCTCTGCAAATCTCCTGATTGAAGAATCTCACGTGCGAACATCATATCTGCCTCCTCCTCCTGCGCCTCCCTGTCCTCTTCCTCCTGCTCCTCCCTCTCTTCCTCAGCCTGCTCCAACCGAGGGCCGTCCACGCCGTCACCAGCACGCAACGCTGCCGGCTTCGCGCAGTCCTGCACCACGCCATTCGCGCGGGCTTTCTCCGCCGTTTCAAGCGCTTCAGCCTCCAGCAGTAGCTGCTGCGCCTGCGCGGCGTCCCTTGGTAACCCGTAACCATCGTGCAGGCAGTACCCCAGTTCGCGCATGGCAGGAGTGTGGCCTAGGGACGCTGCTCGCGCACAGAGGGCTAGCGCCACCGGAAGGTTCCTCTGCGCTTGCGCCATGCCGCTCCCGTTGAAGTGAACAACGGAGAGCGCATACATGGCCGCCGCGTGTCCCGCCAGCGCCGCCTTTGCGAGAAGCTTCAGCCCCTCGGCGTAGTTCCCGAAGCTGTAGAACGTGATCATGCCGAGGAAATACGCGGCGGGCGCGTTCCCCGCGGCGGCGCAGGCGGAGAGGAAGCGGTTGGCGCGCGGAGACCACTGGGACGCGCGGATGTGCAGCACGGCGGGGTTGACCGCGGCTAGCGCTTGCTGGGACCAGCAGAGCGCTCTCAAGGCGCGACAGCTGTGGGAGAGAGAGGGGGCACGGAGAGAGGAGTGAGGGGATTGAGAGGAGGCCATAAGCGGAGAGGAAGAGATAGGAGAGAAGGGGAAAGAGGAGAGGAGAGGTTGAGAGAGAGGAGGGATGGGTGGACAGAGACAAAAGAGGTGGAGAGAGAGGAGAGATGGGTGGACAAAGAGAGGAGAGGTGGAGAGAAAGGAAGCGAATAGATAGAGAGAGGAGAGGGGGAGAGATGGGTGGAAAGAGAGAACCTGAGGGAGAGAGAGTAGATAAAGAAAACAGGAAAGAGAAAACAGCGGAGAGGAGGAAAGAAAAAGGGAAGACACAGGGTTCACCCTGCAGGCGGGGAAGAGCAGAGGTCGAGCAAGTTCAAGGCCGGAAGGCCTGACGGACCTGAGCATGACGTTGCCGAGTTGAGCCGGCGAGTGAGCGCGAGAGACGACTTTGACCATGATGACTCGCAGGATGTCCGAAGGTAGGTCCAGTAATGGGCTCGGGCTCGCCGTTCCCTCCTGTGGCGCCATCGCCACTCCGACGCAGCGTGTGTCGAACACGCGCGCTCGCTTCGCTGCTGGCAGCGCGAGATCCGCGTCCCGGTGGCGTGCTGCGGCTGGGCGGGAGGTCCCTGGTCCGGAAAGAGGTCTCACGGCCCTGACGGCATTGCCGTCAGCGAGAGACCGTTGTTGAGGGCCGGCAGGACTGGGAGCGGCGCAAGCGGTAGCATCTCCAGCTCCGCTGCGGGTCGTTGGCAGGCCCGCCGGCTGGCCGGCGACGGGCGGGGAAGACGATTGCGCGACCGGCGCAGGGGATTCATACCAGCATGCAAGATCGGGCGACAGATTGTGCGACCCACGCGCATGATCGCACCGCAAACCGTGCGACAGGAGGATAGCGGAGTTGAAGAAGGCCGAGGGCAGGCTCAGCGGGGGACGAGGGAACGTCCGAGTCGCCGGCGACGCGTCGTAGTAGTCGTGGAGAGAAAGTGCGGTGGGGTGTTCCGTCGGCAGACGAAGGACGGCCATGGGTGACATATGATGGAACCGACGGCTCTCTGGGAGATGCTAGGGGGGACTAGAACCCGCCTGCTGAGTGTGGCCGCAAGATTCGGACGAGTGAAGGGGGTCGTGAGCTAGTTAGCTCCCTGTGTCAAGACGCACGTCGGCGAGTTAGACCGCACTCGAGCATGTGAGGAGGACGGGCCCAGGCTGCGAAGATGGTGTGGCTGGTGGATGCAAAGGCCACTCAAAGGGACGACGCGCGAAGCAGTGGTTTTTGCAAAATGCTGTTGTGATAGTGAGGGTGGTGGGATTTCACACAGCACTGAAGAATGCTAGTTCTCGTGCACGGTTATGAGGACCGAGGATCAGTCCGTGGAGCTCCTCCTGCCGTGCCTGGCATTGCGGCTTGTACTGTACGGAGCAATATGGTGCGCGTGTGTGGAGTGGATGAGTCTGGGGGAGAGGAGAGAGTGAGAGAGTGAAGCGACACGCATGAGCGAGTGATCGACGGTTCGGTTATGTCGGTCCGTAGTTAATTCCCGTGGAGGGATTTGATGAAGCGTTTCTCTCTGGGTTCAGAAAGGACCACGGCGGTTTGGCTCGGAGTGCATCGAGGCAAGCTGGTATGGAATTTCGGCTTTGTGAATGAATGAGGTAGTGGCAGAAACGTACAGTTTGGTACTTCCCCTTTCTTCCGAAGGCCGATGGAAGTGTCAGGGCAGGGTTGAGCATGGCTGGCTGGCAGTACATTCCAGCTAGGACTGTGTGTCACTGGTTGAGAGCGTGCCTGCCTACTGTGCGAACGTCATCATGCCATTCTGGATGGCTTGTTTCTGTGCTGGGTGGGGCACTGGGGGCACTAGCTTGCCCGCACGAGCTTCGTTGAAGACTCTCACTTTTCCTGGCTGTTATGGACTGGCTCGAACCCTGAGAACTAAATCCTCTGATGCTGGGGGTGGTGGCTGAGGGCTGAAGGGTGGGGGGGGATGGATGGTTGGTGGTGACAGTTCACCTGCAGCAAAGCCAGTGGAGGCAAATTTCGATGGCATAACGATTTTTGACCTCAGCCGTTGCACGGTGCGAGAAAAAATCGTCGAACCCATCATTCTGTGGGGGCTGCAAAAAATCTGTACTTAGGATGCATTTCGACTCCACAACCAGATGATGCATTTCGATGTTTGGATACAACAAGCACTTAGGCAATATATCTCGCATTCCTCCACCACTGAGTGGGTGCGCATCCCAGAAAAAATATTGAGCTTGATTGGGATAAGCGGAATTGTGTGAACATATATAGCATTTAGGACAAGCTGGGTCCTTGTGCATCTCTCAAGTGGGCTCGAATGCTGGAACTATCTTCCACCCAACCAGGACACAAATGAATCAACAGCAAAAATGTAAGTCGCGCGTGCTCACCGTTTGAAAAGTATCTCCGGAACTTGGTGGCAGTTCATGAATAAGTCGAGAACTGCGGCTCTGTCAAGTGGTGCTCGCTGACGAAGCGGAGATCTGATGACACGCAACACCGAAGTTTCTCTGATTCGATGCGTAAGGGCGCCACAGATGGAAACTCGATCAAAGATCCGCTGTAACCCAGGATCTGATACGTAGTCAGGCTTCTGCCGTTAACGATCTTACGTACATTTACGAGGGAAGTCAATCGTCCAGCTTCATAGCCCCTGTGAACAACAATCTGGTACCTAACAATACCCTCTCTGGCATAAACAGATACACAAATGCGGAAAAGGAACATATTATTACACTTCGCGAATGATAGCAAAATGTTTCGCTTTCAAAAACTTCTGTCCACATTGTCGTCTCACAGTCAACAATCCTGCCAGTAGCTGGGCCTGTAAATATAGCAATCTGGCGCCTGGCCAATCAAGTGAAAAAAGAACCTTCTCGAACCCGTGTTGTAAAGTGTTTCCCGCACGCCGTCGCATCGACTTTATGCCGACTGCAACGCATTTGTCCCTGGCGAACGGGTGTTTGGGGCAGCATGCGTGCTATTTATGGGGCTACAAATGAAAAGCATACAAGTACGAACAGAACATCCAAATACATGGAAAGCGAAACAAATTAACATACAAGGAAATTTAGAATGTAGTAAATTTGCAACATTGAACTTCGTACCGCCTTGTGCAACACGCTGCATAGAGCTCTGGACCTCCCACATTTGCAAACCAAATGATG